CCTGCGGCTGGCCAGCGGCTCCCACCACCCCTTCTACAATGGCTTCTACTACAATCACATCATGAATGACGAGGGCAACGAGCAGGAGAAAGGTACATTGGGGATTGGCAGGGCTGGGGGGAGAAGTAGGGCTGGCAGATCTGGGTGAAGGGCTGAATTCCACCTCTGGATGGGGCTGGGACCCAGCTGTTGAGGGGTGTGTTGACCCAGAGGTGCAGGAGGGGTTGCTCAGGCAGAAGAGGTGTCTGGAGGGAGGGAGCAGCGCAGCTGCAGAGAGATTTGGGGACACTGCCCAGCCCTACGTCCTGACCCACACTGCACACCTTCCCTTTTTGTCTCCAGATACTTATTTCAACGGGGCCAAGCTGGTGGTGGAGACACCCAAAGACCCTGTGTACAGCGCCAACGGTGCCAACGTCACCCTGCCATGTCACTACCACCATGAGCCCGACCAGGAGGCCAAGCACAAGATCCGTATCAAGTGGTCCAAGCTGCGGGACGACTACACCAAGGAGCAGGATGTACTGGTGGCCATTGGCAAGACCTACATGGCCTTTGGGGACTTCCAGGGCCGTGCTCACCTCCAGCAGGGCAGCCAGCGGGAGGCCTCGCTGGTCATCAGCGACGTGCGCTTGCAGGATGACGGCAAATATCGCTGTGAGGTCATTGATGGGCTGGAGGATGAGAGCGACGTGGTGGACCTCCGGCTGCAAGGTGGGGGCACAGTAGGGGTCCCTGCACCAAGCCAGTGATCCTGGCCTTCCTGTGGCACCCCCTCCTTTGAGGAGGTAGCAAGGCAGGGGGGTTGGGAGACCAGTTGTGAGCAGAAAGGGGCTGGGATGCTGGTGTGATGGGGGTAGTGGCTAGGGGCTGGCTGACTGTGGGGTCTCAGCAGGGTGTGAGCCCAGAGCAGTCTGCCTAGCTGGGATGCTGGAGATGCTGCTGTGGAGTCAGAGCTGGGGATAACCCCACGGCTGCAGCATTTCCTGCTTCTACCCACCCATCTTCCTGCTGTGCTGCATCATGTGCGGCTGCCCCCTTGCTCCCCAGCTCTGGGCATTCCCCTGCACATTGTGAGGAACCCTGGTGACTGGTCCAACCCTCTTGCTCACAGGAGGGACTTGACTCAGCCTTGGTTCTGCTGCCAAGCTTGGAGCTGGGGAAATGCCCCCTTTGCTGAGACCTCCTTGCCCGCCCCCTCAGCCCTCTGGCCCTCCCTGCCATGTTGGCTTGTCCCACTCGTGTGTGTGACTGTGGTCTGGGGTGGGGGTGGTGTTGCACACGTTCCCGTGGTCCCTCCAGCCCCATGACAGTGTTCCATGCATCCACATCTTAGCGGTCCATGTGTTCTGGGCTTGTATCTTGTACATCCCCTTTATTCTGGTCCTTGTGCCCCTGTACTTTGTGCATCCTCATGGCGATGGTCTCTCCATCCCCATAGGGACGGTCCATACCTCCTGGGACTACTGTCTTTGTGTTCCCAGGACTGTGGACCATACATCCATGTGATGGTGCTCCCCGAATCCTCAGTATCATAGTCGGTGCGTCCTGGTGCCGCCCTATGAGGGTGGTCTGTGCGACCTCAGCCCCTTTGTCCCTGTGCCACCAGATGTCGCTGGCCACTCGCTGCTGGCGGCTGCGTGCCCGTAGCAGCCCCATCCCCGCACGCCTGAGCTTGGGCTGTGCCACGCTGAGGTGGTCCCTGTCCCAGAATCTGAATTTGGGGTGGGCTAGAGGCTTCTGTGGCTCCTGGTGGGGCCGAGCTGGAGCTGGCCCAGCAGCCCACAGAACCGGCTGAGCATCTCATCTTCCTCCAGGCATCGTGTTCCCCTACCAGCCTCCTCGCGGGCAGTATAGCCTCAATTACCACGAAGCCAAGCGAGTGTGTGAGGAGCAAGCTGCCATGCTCTCCACCTTCAACCAGCTTTTCCAGGCCTGGAGTGAGGGGCTGGACTGGTGCAACGCGGGCTGGCTGGCAGACGGCACAGTGCAGTACCCCATCCGCCTGCCCCGCAAGCCCTGCGGGGGGCTGCACCTGGCCCCGGGCATCCGCAGCTACGGCCCCCCGCC